GTGCTAAATTCCTTTGGTAATGTATCACACTCTTGAGGTTTAGTGCTTAATGCATTTTCGGTTTCTATGTTGTTGTTAATGCAATTTTCGGTTTTATGTTGTTGAAGCTTCTATCCTATTTCATGTTATGGTTTGCTTAATTCCATGATGTTGTTTTAGGTTTGTGAACTGATTTTCGCTTAGTTAATTAGTTCTCTAGCACATAATCGCTTAGTTTATGTGAATCTGTAAATGCTCTATGTTTATGTTGAATTCGCTTAGTTGAAGCTTAACATTAGAGTTATGAACAGATTAGGAATTCAATGTGTAGAATCTGAAATTGATGCTTTGATTCGTGTGACATTGTTAACTGTTTGTTGCTTATGCCAATTTCGCTTAGTTAGAGGTTTAGCAATTTAACTGTGAGTTGATCATCGCTTAGTTAATCGACTCTCAACAAAGGAACACTGAGAATCTGATTTTGATATATTGAAACCGAGGATTGAGTTGTGAACAAGGAAACCAAAGGGATTTAGCCTCTTTACTATTCTGTTTTCTGTTTGTGTTCTATTTTAGCTTAATTTCATAGCATAACAACCACTAAAACCCCCCCATTGTGTGTGTGCGTGTAAGGTGTTTGAACCATTGTGTGAAAGATAATCTTTGGGAAACGACCTAGGAGTCACTTCCTAGTACTATACTTTATTGTTATATTATTTGTATCGAGTACGGCCTCGATCACCATACCACGAAGGCAGGTCAAAGTCCATACCACGAAGGCAGGTCAAAATCCATACCACGAAGGCAGGTCAAAATCCGTACCACGAAGGCAGGTCAAAATCCAAACCACGAAGGCAGGTCAAAATCCATAATCAACATATTATCCGCAACCATAGAACTAACGCGGTTAAATAGGAAACTCATGATATTTCCCGTTTAATCGTGTTAATCCACTGAAACCTCCAACTAGTGAGTGTCGTTGGAGTTTCCAATGTCAAAATTCTAATACCACAAAGTTTTAATGTTGCTCCCTCACCTGAGTAGTCGCTAATGCTTGCACTAAAGCTCAGTTGCGTTCTCCGCCGTCTCCTCCAACCTTAGGGTCTTTCAACCCAATACAACACAATTACAACATATCAATTTACACATCAAAATACTAATAATACTAACCAATAATCCTACAACACCAGAAAACATTATCCATTCATTTCATATTCAACATAGAGGTTTCCCTAATGTTGCCATGACTCTACGGTTTTGAAAACAACTTCCCACACACCCATTTCGAAAAACAACTCATCATCTATGAGTTTTACAAGGTTTTCCAAAGCAAAACGGACCAAAATGCAAAGAGAGGGTTTATGGGGTTGTACCCCAAAACATGGAGAAGAAACCCCATTCATAATGATGACAATCAACCTTAAGAGAGGCTAGGTTAAGCGATTTACCTCTTCTCCGGTCTCCTCTTTGACTCTAAGGGTGCAAAACTCCTCAAACCGTTCCTCTTCTCTTGTTTTTCGAAAAATAATCCCTTATCCACACTTGGGACGTCTATTTTAGGTTATCAGATTTTAGACTCTCGCTTAAGCGAGGGTAGGCTCGCTTGGGCGAGGACCCACGACCCTTGGCATCATTCAAGAACTGATGCTCTCGCTTGGGCGACAATTTCTCGCTCAGACGAGATTTGTCCAGTGGCAACACCACTCTCTTGCTTGAGCGAGCTCCCTCTCGCTCAGGCGAGATTCTTCCAGTAGCCACGCCTCTCCCTCGCTTAAGCGAGCTCCATCTCGCTCAAGCGAGAATTCCAGGAAAGTACCTGGGAATAACACTGAGTCCCTCGCTTGGGCGAGATCCTCTCGCTCAAGCGAGAATCACCCAGTAGCTCCCAGACTTCCTGATATCCACTATATTCGGAATTGTAAATTTTGGGATGTTACATGCTACATACCCAGAACAAACCGAACCTGATAACACACTTCCAAATAATCCTTACTTTCAATATCCACCACAACACACTCCCAGAAAATTCCTTCTTTCATTGTCTACACACACATAGAAAACACACACTCGTTTTTTCCACCCAAATCCAGATACCACACACCGTCATCTTTCTCTATCCACCGCCTCAACCTCATTATATCTCAATCACCACCTATAACTCAACCATTACCCTCTTCATAGCGTAACCACTACAAAAATACCTCATACACAAACATATACAAACATATACAAACCAGAGATATACATACATTGGTATTTGTTATATACATATGCAAAATTCCATACAACACAGGGAAAGAAGGAGAAGACCTTACCATGTCTCCCCTGTGAGTCGTGACCATTAGCCTTGGTGTCGTCGTCTTCAATGGTTTCTTCCTCTGCCGACACGAGTGCTCCTCCATAATCGCTGCCCTTAGAATCGAAGGAGAAGAGAGGAAGATGGAAGTAAAGAAATGGAGAAGGAAATGTGAGTTTAGGGATTATTTCCCTTGTTAGACGTGAAATAAGGGGTATTACCCCCTTTGCCTAATTTATTCTTAAATGTTTTTAATTCTTTTTATTTATATATTTGTTTGTTTCATTATTTTGTATTAACCTTCATGTTAAAATTAATTGGTAGAGTTTATTTTCTATAAAAATCCCATTAAAATTGGTAGAGTTCATTATTTTGTAAGGTTACGGTTCGAGTTGACTCTAACTTCTCTGAAAATGGGAAGAAGGTGAACGGCCAACACCGAATCTAAACTATTAATTCCATGCCAAAAATGTTTTAAATAAAAATTACCTTATTATTTAAATGAATTTTAATGGAATTTTCATAGTAAGGTTACAGTTCGAGATGACTCTGACTTCTCCGAAAATGGGAAGAAGGTGATCGACCAACACCGACTCTAAACTATTAATTCCCTGCAAAAAAAATTTTAAATAAAAACTACCTTATTACTTAAACGAATTTTAATGGAATTTTTATAGTAAGGTTATGGTTCGAGTTGACTCTGACTTCTCCGAAAATAGGAAGAAGGTGAGCGACCAACACAGACTCTAAACTATTAATTCCTTATCAAAAATATTTTAGAAAAATAATGACTTAACTACTTCAACATATTTTAAAACTACTCAAACCAACTTAATTACTTTTCAAACCAGAACTACGTAGCCTTGATTACCCTATTGCACCTAGGGATACGTAGGAGCAAGATAAACTCTTGTCAGACACAACAATAAAAAATAAAACATTTCGCCCTTTTTAATAAATAATTTTTAAAGGTATAAAAGTCCATGTTATTAGCAAGGGTACCGTTTTATTATGGGCGGACGGGGTGCTAATACCTTCCCCGATCCGTAATCGACTACCGAGCTCAAAATCTCTGTTTAAAAGACCAAATTTACCAAATTGGGCATGTTTAGAGTTTTCTACGTTTTATCCGTAAAAACGTAGTGGCGACTCCAAAACAAATGGAAGAGGTAAAAATCGAGTTCGCCTCTCCCTAAGTTGCAGGACCGGTCTTCTAACAGAAAATCAGGGCGCGACAATCACTCGGTTGGCACTCATCCATTTTCGATCAATTATTTCATCCATTTTCTAGAAATAAATTGTCAAAAAATATTGAGTTAATAATTGAACTTTAAATTTGGGATCATAAATCCCTAAAAAATTGAGTCGACGCTCACCTTACAAGCAAATACATTATTATGGAATAACCTAACTCATGTAATACAAGCTAAGTGAGGAACCCTAACTCAATATAAACTAAATTGGTGTGTGATTGAACTTTCAATTCGGGGAAACATAAATCCCTAAAAGATTGAATTTAGTTCACATAGCAAGCAAATATAGTATTAGGAAAAATCCTAACTAATGTAATACAAGCTAAATGATGAATCCTAACTAACTACAAGCTAAATGAGTGTATGATTGAACTTTAAATTCGGGCATACATAATAACTCATGTAATAAGATGAAATCTAACACAATAAAAACAAATATTTATAAGGAAAACTCACTTTCAATTCGGTGCAGAATGAGCGAACTTTCGGTACAAAAATGAGAAAGAGATTTTGATTGAATGATTTTGAGGTTCAATGTGTGAATGATTTTCGATGTTGAATGTGTGAATGGTTTTGAGGTTCAATGCGTGAATGATTTTGAGATTGACTGAAAGGGTGAAAGATTTTGTGAGGTTTTGAGTTTCGCTGCTGCTGAGTAAAAGAGTTTTAGAGTAAAGAGGTTTTTGAATATGAGATAAGTTTTAAGTTTTCTATGATAAGCCTTTAACATCGCACTATTGAGATGACGTTGTTGAAGATTTAAATTCCATAGCGAATGTTAAAATATGCGTAGTTGTATGGAAAATATACAACAACACATGTGGAAAGGTGCGTTGTAAAACATATCCATAAACATGTGGTGGAAATGCTCTTCAATTCCACAACGATTGTTAGGAGATGCGCTGTTATATATGTTCTATTCCACAACGAATGTTAGAAGGTGTGATATTGTATATGTTCTGCTCCACAGCGAATGTTAGAAGGTGCGCTGTTGTATATGTTCTATTCAACAACACACCTTTCCACATGCGCTGTGGAATAGAACATATACAATAGCGCATGTGGGAACAAGCGCTTTTGAACATCTTCCATTTTCACTTCAACATCGGATATGGAAATGTGCATTGTTTTATATGTTCTATCCCACAGTGAATTGTTGAATACGCGCTATTGAAGTTCATGTTTCCTAAATCTAAACAGTTAAGTAGACACCACACAAGCATACATCAAATCATCAAAACATTGTGCACAGAAAATGCATTGAACAACAGAACCATCAACAACACCAGAACATAAAATGCATTGAACAACAACAACAAAAATATATCAACACCAGAGCATAAAATGCATTAAACAAAATAGGCACAAATTGAACCAAAACATCTATATATATTTAACATAATCATTACACATCTTTAAAAGAAGGTACATATTTTGACCAAACATCCCTAATATGATTGATTTGGTCTTCTGTAAATGAATCTAAATTAAACTGGACTTGATTTGGCCATTGCCTAATGTCCTCCTTCATGAAGATCATCACATAATAGCTGCAACCTTTGTCATTGGTTTGACAAGGGGTCTACAAATAAAAGCACATGAACATAAGTATAATCATACATAATTGAATTACAAATTACATATAATTGTTTGATGAGATGAGTAGTGTCAATACCTTTACATGAGTCCATCCGATGTTTGATGCAGATTTAGTACGAATATTTTGGGCTTTATATATATCAAGTGCCCTAAACAATAGAAAATACTATACATGATAACAAAACAGGTATGAAAGTGAACCAAATATCAGAAAGTTTAAATGAGTAGTTCACTTACTTATTAATTTTTTTTCATAATGGTGTACTTGTTCCGATCACCATGTTTCAATGAATCAAAATAGCACAATTGTTTACTGGTCTGATTAATGACAACCAAAACCCAATGTTGTCTAAGAAAACGCATGCATATGGTTAGGAAATGTTAAGAAAAAACATACTTAAAAACAATTAAAAAATGATGGTCACCAGGTGTTAAAGGGTGGAATGAATAAGTCAGTATCTTCTTCATGTTTATCGAGAATGTCTACAATAGAGTCTGCCTGCTCATTCTTCCTTTTGTCTTTGGAAGTCGTAACCATAGTGGTATAATGAGGGGACAAGAACATCACCTTCTTATTACTTTTGGAAATAAGGTTGTCATACAAGTACCTAACATATAACACAAACGTTAGTTAATTATAACACACCAATGATTAAATGCGAAAATGAGAAGTTAATAAAATATATTTTACCTTATATATACATATATAGCAGATGCACCGATCCAATTATGATCGTATACATCCTTCACTTATGTGATACCGATGTATTCGTTGGCGACAAACTCGAAGATGGGTGAGGGAATTGATGTCACAAAAATATAATCGGAAGGTAATTTTTGAACATGCTTCATGAGTAGTGCACAAAAGTTGGTTTTCTTGGAGACCACCTCCCCTGAGGATGACTTAGACTGTGGCTTATTTTCTTTATGCTTGGACTTCACAACTTTGGTCTTTTTAGATGCAGGTTCAACTCTAGGAGGGGATGTTGCACTTTGTTCAACTATCACATTTTCCTGAAATATTCAATACAAAATATATTAATTACAGATCAAAATAACTATATAATATGAATGAGCATAAGGTGAAAATCATACTTTACTAGGAACTACATTTAGAAGATGTACTGGCCAAGCCACAAAAGATCCTAAAGCCCCTCCCAATGTGATGATATTCTCATCAAGAGGAATTGGCAGCAATGCATCATCTTCAATTACCATATAAATTGAGATTCTCACATGATGGGATGGGATTTGTGCATTATGCAGCATGGCATCCCATGTGTTGTGCATCGTGCCAATACCCACTGCACGCGTACATGGGATATCCAGAAAGAGTTTGCAATTATTGATTCCCTAAATGATAGTTAAAACATATAATTAGTTTAGCAATATAAAAAAACTAAAGAGCAAATAACTTAAAATTAGTTTACTAAATTACTTCTGGAATGGGAATGTGGTGTCTAGGATGTGTGAAACTTGAATTAATGGTAAAAGCTTGAGGCCCCTCAACATCTTTACTTCTCAACATACGTTCCATTAAAAGGAACCGTTCAGCGAGGTCCTCGTATTTGTTCTTTAAATCAAGTACAATAGTTTTGTTTGCACACTTTTCAAGGGATTTTATTGTACGTTTTCTAACCCCAAATTCAGCACCCCGGATACGGCCAGGGTACTGATGCAGTCCTAATGCCTTTTCAAGTACCTCCTGACTATCTGGGATCTGCAAACTTGCCCTTTCTTTTAGGGTAACCTGACACATCAAGAAAATACATAATATTAAATAATCACATTGATAAAGAAAGTATGGAAATAAAATTTAATTAAATGATAAGAACTTACAACACGATTTGCTACTTCTTGAACTTGTTTGTTGTCGATAACACCTTGCTTGTTCTTACGAGCATCCATCCACAAAACATCGAGGTCTACGACACTCGAAGATATCTCGCTTTGTTCAAGTTGCCAATACATAATCAATACTAATATAATTATTAGATATGAATTATACAAAACTTAAGCAATTAATAATGTACTTAATTACATAGAAATTAACAATTCTTACAATGTTTTCCTCAACTCCTCTATATCTCATTCGAAAAGCTTTATATGGATACAATGGTTTAGATTCTCTTTTGTGGTTTTCCTCACTTACTTTCTGCAAAAAAAACAACATTAACATCAACAATGATATATACAAAAAATCATATATAATAATAAAGTCAAAATAAAGAAATATTATATTACCAAAAAAAGTGTCGTCTAGTGTGCTAAGAGTGACAAATTTTTGTGAAGAAGATCTTGCTCCTGACCTTGGCACAGTTTTTATGAAGACACCAACATCACAAAAAGAAGAAACAAAGAAGACTTATCAAGACTAAAGAAGACAAAGCTTCAAAGATTTAGAGTCTAAGTCTTTTAGGTACTTCTATCCTAAAATTCATTTATTACCTTAGTTAATAATGCTAAAAAATGTTTTAAAGAAAATTGGAAAATTCTAAGTGTGAATAAAAATAATTTTCAAAAATATGTAATGAGTTACTGTACTTGAGTAACAAGTTACACGAGTGAGAAAAAAGTTATCCATCCTCCAACGGCTAAGAGTAATCCATTACTGTCTTTGAAGTAACAAATTACCATTTTGAGTAAAGAGGGTAATCTATTACTCAAAGAGCTGTAATCGATTATACTTAGGCATATTTCATTTTTGTGAAACATAACACTTGAGTAATCGATTACTCAATTACAGTAATCGTTTATATTGTGTAAAATTCGAAAATGATGTTGGACATGATAGTTGTAAGGACCCAAATTCTACCCTTGAAAAAATTTTCTTAATTAAAAACAATTTTCCTTCATCATATCATTTCGAACATCCAAAGAGTTATTTTCAAACACCAATTAGTTATTTTTCCCGATACTATACATGAATCAGTAACACACGTGTTCGCGATGCAGAAAAACATAATTCGATTAAGTAACTCTCTGCGAGAGTAAAATATCAATAGTTATGGTTCCACTTAACGGGATTTCCATAATTACATAACTAAAAACTAACACCTTAGCCATGATTACAAGAATTCAAATCCACAGGTAATTAGTTACAAAACCACAAGCACAACAAGAGAAATCCAGCTATAAAGTTCCTAAGTTCCCAAATGAGCATCCTCAATTTACCTGTTTATCTGCAAGGGGATTATTGATAACAAATACACAAAAAGCACAAAGGAGTAATTAATTAATTCAATAATCATCATTCTTAGATAATCCACATTTTAAATACAATATAAACATTAGAGTGAGACACATATTACAAGTACAAGAAGATAACCATTCATATCTGCTTTCTTTTCTTTCCATATTATCCATATTCATCCTACAACATATATATATATATCCCATGATATAGATATTATATAGCATGCATATTAATCTATCCCAATTCACTTTCTCTTCCTTATCTTTCATATTCACCCAAGGGTGTTACTTGGAATAGGGTTTTCCAAGGGTTTTAAGTTTAAGTGAGTGTGTAAGGTACGAGGAGATCTCGGGGTGAGTATTTGTAATTGCAACTCATTATATTTAATAAAGGAATCTCTTGCGCGTTAAAACACCTGTGTACTCTCTTCTCCTTTTCTTTCTACTTTCAAAGTCGTTATTTTTCTACATACTTTTTCCGCTGCACTTAAACTTTGATTTTGCAGAAAAATTGGCCATAGTATTGCAACAACTAATTCACCCCTCCTCTTAGTTGCATTCTTATTCTTACAATTTGGTCCAATCCGCCTCATCAATGAGATTTGCATATTCGGCTGGAAGCTTGAGGTTGACTTTCCTTTCAAGATCTCTGAGACATTTCCCAACATCGGTTTTGAATTGTCAGAGAGCCTTGTTGACAGTTTTGAGGATGTATCCCTTGTGTTCCTCACCAACATTAAATTTTGCCTAAACAAATAAATAAATTAAGTATGTTGCATGGAAACAAAAAAGATTGCTTAAACATCAAAAGTTGCATAAATAGTTTGTATTATACACATTTCATGAAAATACAAAAAAACGTATACATTGCATGGGTTAGCTAAAAGCAGATTCTCATTTCCTTTTTAAATAAAACGTGCTTATATACTCAAGCCAGAGTTTTTCTTATATACTCAAGCCAGAGTTTTTCTTATATACTCAAGCCAGAGTTTTGCTTATATACCCAAGCCATAGTTTAGCTTATATACTCAAGCCAGAGTTTTGCTTATATACTCAAGCCAGAGTTTTGCTTATATACTCAAGCCAGAGTTTTGCTTATATACTCAAGCCAGAGTCGCTAATCATTCATGGTCGGCTAAAAATATATTTCCTTTTCATTAATTTCACCATAAAACAATTCCGGTAAATCCACGCCCACATTAGTATAAGCACACCCATATATGTTTATACTAATTACGTGATTCACAACTCAATCATCACATAACCAGAAGTACACATCTTTCTTTTCCGTAAACCTACGCCTACTTTAATATAAACACACCCATATATGTTTATACTAAATGCGTACTTTACAACTCAATCATTGAATAATCAGAAAATACACCTTTTCGATTTCAAATGCACAATTAAAGACTTATCCTTACCTTGGTGAGTGTTGGGTTTGGTTCTTGGCAACTTCTCAAGTTCCACCGATACCGCCTCCAACCTTAGGATCTTTCCTCATCCCACCACATAACACAATGTTAGTCATTTATTCCAAATATCACATAAATAACTTATATTGCATCATTTAATCATACAAAATATTCATCATAAGTATCCAACCATCTAAAACATGCATAATCATCTCATATTCCCATATTTGGAGGTAAACTCATCTTCTACCTCTAGCATTTTACTCATTCTCTCATTTTACCACATTTTCACTTTTAGGGTTTTTGGGGTTTTCATGAACCAACCCACAACCCTTTCCATTCTTGAGATACCATCTCTAAACCAAGAGTCAAGGTAAGAATGACATAAAATGAATCATCACTCAAAAGGATGAGTTTTCCATGGTTTCCTTCATTTTTGAGAAGAGATCCAACATCCCCAAAGTGAGTTTAAAAGAGAAAAAGAGAGTTAGAATCTAGAGTTTTACCTCTTCTCAAGCTCTTAGATGAGTATCCAAGCTTCTTGTCCTTTAAAAGCTCTCTTCTCTCACTCTTCTTCTTTTCTAAACCCTAGATTGTGTTTAGGGTTTTCTCATTAAATGTTGTCTCGTCGGGTTCTCGCTTAAGCGAGGGATTCTCGCTCAAGCGAAAAAATCCCGCCTATTTTTAAAAACTCAAAACTGACCCTCTCGCTCAAACGAGAATCTCACA